AAATTATTTATCTTTTCATCCAAGACATTTAAGATAAACATATCTCATTTAAAATAATAGAGGAAAAATTGAAGGGAAATCAAATTTATTGCCAAAAAGGACAAAACATAAAATGATAAGACTAGAGAGTCTTATTGGAGTAATGTGTAAAAATTTACTTTATATTATAACTTTCTATTAAAGATGCTCTCTATTTTACTTTAAAAATTCAAACTCTGTTTCAATTCAAACTTTGTTTCAACATTTGGTATCAGAGCCACTCCTTTTACTAGTGTTGTCATCATGTCTGAGAGTTCCTTTGTGCAGCCAGCAGTTCCTAAGTTTGATGGGCATTATGACCATTGGTCAATGCTCATGGAAAACTTTTTGAAGTCTAAGGAATACTGGCACTTGGTGGAGCATGGAATTCCTGCCGCAGCAGGAGAGGGTAGTGTTCTCACGGAAACTGAGAAGAAGCACATTGAGGATCAAAAGTTGAAAGATTTAAAAGCCAAAAATTATCTCTTTCAAGCTTTGGACCGTTCGGTGCTGGAAACCATTCTCAACAAGGATTCCGCAAAGAACATATGGGATTCTATGAAACTGAAATATCAAGGCACGACTCGTGTTAAGCGTGCTCAATTGCAAGCTCTACGGAAGGAGTTTGAGCTTCTCCACATGAAGCTTGGAGAATCTGTGAATGAATATTTCGGTCGTACACTTACCATCGCCAATAAGATGAAAGCAAATGGTGAGGTAAACGTTGCTGTTGTTGAAAAAATATTGAGGTCCATGACTCCTACATTTAATTATGTGGTGTGTTCTATTGAGGAATCTAAAGACATAGATACCTTAACTATTGATGAGTTGCAAAGCAGCTTACTTGTGCATGAGCAGCGCATGAGTTCCCATAATGAAGAAGAACAAGCTTTGCAAATCACTCATGGAGGCCGGAGTCAAGGACGTGGAGGTATGAGAGGAAGAGGAAGAGGGCGCGGCAGACAGAACTTTGACAAGGCCACAGTGGAGTGCTATAAATGTCACAAATTGGGGCATTTTCAATGGGAATGTCCTAGCACAGAGAAGGCAGCCAACTATGCAGAAACTCAAGAACACCTACTACTTATGGCATATGTAGAGGTGACTAAGGCCCATGGGGATGATCTCTGGTTTCTCGATTCAGGATGTAGCAATCATATGAGTGGGAAAAAGGAATATTTTGCTAATTTTGATAGTAGTTTCAAAGATAATGTGAAGCTTGGTAACAACTCCAGTCTAGCTGTCCTTGGCAAAGGTAACATACGGTTAGAGGTGAATGGGATGATACAGATTATTACTGATGTATTTTATGTGCCAGATTTGAGAACAAACTTACTGAGTATTGGGCAGTTGCAAGAAAAGGGCCTTGCCATTTTGATTCAACATGGCAAGTGCAAAGTTTTTCATCCAAAGAAAGGCTTAATCATGGAGATAACGATGTCTTCCAATCGTATGTTTATTTTGCATGCCATGGCTCAAAAGGCAGTGTCTACTTGTTTCAGCACCATTACTGAAGATATGGCACAGCTTTGGCACCGTCGTTATGGACACCTAAGCTTTAAAGGTTTACAGACTCTTCAACAGAAGCAAATGGTTGATGGTTTACCCCAGCTAAAGTCTCCTTCAATGCTATGCACTGATTGTTTAGTAGGGAAGCAACAAAGGGACTCCTTTCCACGACAAAGCACTTGGAGAGCTTAAAAAATTCTAGAATTAGTACACGCAGACATTTGCGGACCCATCACACCCATCTCGAACAGCAAGAAGAGGTATTTGCTCACCTTTACTGATGACTATAGTAGAAAAACATGGGTTTATTTTTTGATAGAGAAATCAGAAGCTCTTGCCTTTTTCAAAATGTTTAAAGTACATGTTGAGAAGGAAACCAATTCTTGCATTCAAGTTTTACGCACTGATCGAGGTGGGGAATTTACATCGCAAGAGTTCAATACCTTTTGTGATAAACATGGCATACGAAGGCAATTGACAGCTGCCTACACGCCACAGCAAAACGGTGTTGCAGAACGTAAGAATAGAACCATCATGAATATGGTTCGGAGTATGCTCTCAGAGAAGAAAATGCCCAAAACCTTCTGGCCTGAAGCTGTTAATTGGGCAGTGCATGTCTTGAATCGGAGTCCAACTTTGGCGGTGAAAAATCAAACTCCAGAAGAGGCTTGGAGTGACATCAAGCCTTCAGTGGGATATTTCAAAGTGTTCGGTAGTATCTCTCATGTCCATGTACCTGACTGCAAAAGATCAAAATTGGATGATAAAAGTGTGAGTTGTGTTCTGTTGGGAGTTAGTGACGAATCCAAGGCTTACCGACTCTTTGATCCACTTTCACAACGGATAATTATCAGTCGGGATGTTGTCTTTGAAGAAGATAAAACCTGGGATTGGGATCAGACCTTTGCCACCTCTATTGAGTGTAATCTGGATTGCGGAGATCATGAGGAAGAAATTGGTGTTGAAAATGCTGCAGAAAATGGGGCTGAAAATGGTGATAATCATGCTACTACTGAAAGGAGCGAAGTTGTTTCTGCAGCTGATATAGAAGCTGAAGAAGAAGAAGATACAGAATCAGCAACTTTGGCTGATATGTTGCCGTTCCACACTCATGAAAGGAGGACTAGACGGGCCCCATTGTGGATGAAAGATTATGTTACTGGTGAAGAACTTTCTAATGCAACTAATGAGGACAATTTCGCCATGATGATTACAACTACTGATCCTTTGTATTTTGAAGATGCCGTGAAGAGTGAGAAATGGAGGAGGGCAATGGATGCTGAAATGGAAGCAATAAACAGAAATGGCACATGGGAACTGATAAACTTACCAGAGGGAGGAAAGACAGTGGGAGTGAAGTGGATTTATAAGACAAAATTCAATGAAAAGGGCGAAGTGGACAAATTCAAGGCACGACTTGTCGCCAAGGGATATACCCAACAATATGGAGTGGACTATACTGAAGTGTTTGCTCCAGTGGCACGAATGGAAACAATCCGTTTGGTGGTAGCACATGCAGCTCAACGAGGATGGAATATCTACCAATTAGATGTCAAGTCGGCTTTCTTGCATGGAGAATTGAATGAAGAAGTCTTTGTAGAACAGCCATGTGGTTATGTGCAAAAGGGCATGAGCAGAAGGTGTACAAGTTGTATAAGGCTCTCTATGGGCTTAGGCAAGCACCACGTGCTTGGTACAGTCGGATTGAAGCTTATTTTATGAAGGAAGGGTTTGAGAAGTGTGGTTATGAGCATACTTTGTTCATCAAAGCCAGCATAGGGGGAAAAGTATTAATTGTCAGTTTATATGTGGATGACCTGATTTGCACTGGTAATGATGATGCTATGATTACTCAATTTAAAACTTCTATGAAGCAAGCATTTGACATGACAGATCTTGGTAAGATGAGGTATTTTCTTGGTTTGGAAATCTTGCAACAATCTGATGGTATTTTTATCTGTCAGAAAAGGTATGCTTTGGAGTTGCTGGCACGTTTTGGTATGGAACAAAGTAATTCTGTACAGACTCCAATTGTTCCTGGGTGTAGATTGACAAAAGATGCTGATGGTGTGAAGGTGGACAAGACCTACTATAAACAAGTTCTGGGTTGTCTTTTCTACCTCACAGCCACTCGTCCTGACATAATGTTTGTAGTAAATCTTCTTAGTCGCTACATGGAGAATCCTACAGAATCCCATTTGCAAGCAGCAAAGCGAGTACTGAGATATTTGAAGGGTACAACTGACTTCGGGATTTTTTATAGGAAGGGAGGACACAATAATCTTGTGGCTTACACAGATAGTGATTATGCTGGGGATTTGGATGACCGTAAGAGTACATCTGGCTATGTTTTTATGTTGAGTTCAGCGGCAATATCATGGTCCTCTAGAAAACAACCTGTGGTTAGTTTATCTACCACTGAGTCAGAATTTATTGCTGCTGCATCTTGTGCATGTCAGGCCGTATGGTTAGCAAGGGTATTGGAGAAGATAGGTCAAGCTCAGGATAAAGCTACTATGATTCATTGTGATAATAGTTCAGCAATTAAATTGTCTCTTAGCATGTATCCCATGTTTACTCCTAATAATTGTATGTCACAATGACCCTAGCTCTAAAGGAAATTTCCAAAGCCATTTACCAACCAAGGCCTCATTTCTTTAACCAAGTTCCCCAACAAAAGTCCACTTTTAGCTTTTAGCTTTTAGCCTAATGACAACATCCCCCCGAAACCAAATGATCCTTCTTTCCTTCTCCACATCCTTCCCATCAGAAATCCCTCATCATCACTTCAATCCTTCTAGCTACCAAACAAGGCAACTTAAACTTCTATATTTTGTAACAAGGCCTTCAATACTAAATGAAATTTTTGCTTTCTATTTTGGCATGCAGTAGACTATCAATGTGGAAAGGAAGGGCCCAAAAACTTACCAAAACTGGAGGTTCACAATCATGCTGAAGAGCTTAAAGAAAGGAGGTCCTATCTATGCCATCCCGCATGTAATACAAGACAATTTCCAAGCAAACAAACAAGAAAAAGGGAAATTGCTTTATAAAAGGGGGGGGAAAAAGAATTCCAGAATTCAGCATAGAGCACATTGTATTCTCATGTAATCATGTTTAGGGCCCATATTAAGTCTCATTTGAAGATAATTTTTAAGTCACTAAGCTGTTTTCATTTACCGAGTTTTTGCACATAGACTATCATCCTGGTCAAAGGATCTTAATTTCGGTGAAATTATGTTGTTACATGTTTTATTCCAAGTCCAAGGTACTACAGAATTGTCATGGAGTCATATAGTCTAACAGTTCCCCAATTTTTAGGTCATTGTGTTACTAAATTTAAAAGAGTTCAGCAGCATATGAGAATCTATACAATCTTCTAATTTTAATGGTCGACACATAAACTGAGCTGAGGATTTCCATAAAGCTTGTGGAGTATTTTCTAGTGCTCAATGCAACCTTACATAATTACTCTAGGCGGAATTCCTGGATTCTTCTTCTTCCTTTCCTTTTACACACATCTGTTCACATACCAAAATAAACCTGATTTAGAACTCCAAATCCATTCTCACAATCAAAGACTCAACCCTAGCAAAAGGTACAATTATCGCGTTGCTGTTCACAGCTCCACTTTCAGTTCTAAAACTTCACCATGTTGAGATCAAATCAACCGTAATCCACTACCATTCCGTTAGTCCACAAATTAGCACCAAAACAATAAAATTCTTAGCTGTCCAGAGGATTAAAGCACCCTATTTGTCAAAATTTTGTAAACAATAAGGCGATCTCAATCCTTTCTGTTCATAAAGTCCAGGATCCTTCTTCCATACATTAAACCAAACCCTAGAAGTTTTTCACAACCCAAATCCATAATGAAATCAATTGTAGGTGGCACAACCTTAGGTTTCTTAGAGGCATCCAATATCACTTAGCCATATTAAATTATTTGCATAACTACCTCATATATACACATTTATTGCTGGGCCACTATTTATGCAAATATCACATCACATTAACAAGTGAAACATATACACACAATACCTCAAAAATACAATACATATGCAGTGAATCACAATTTATAGACCTTCCAAATCAAATCCAACAACCAGCAGCTACAATATGACCACACAAGAAATTCACCAATTTTCTGCTGCTCAAGTGACTTCAACTAATAAAAACTCTTACCCTTGCCTTGATGTTCATAAAACTGATTGCACCATCAAAGTTGTTACTGTCCTTGGACACTTTACTTTCTTCTTCCTCTTTTTTTTGGTGGTCCACCTCAGACCCCCAGAAATGCAGCCCCTTAACAGCATGGGTCTACATCATGCTCAATTGGTCATGAGGTTCTCATTTCTGATAAAATGACACTACATCACATGCCTTGGTGGATTCATCCATTTCCTCTAAACAGGCTTACAGGCCTTCCTAAACAGATCCAGACTGAACATATAATGCTTTGGTGTCCTAATATTGGCCATAGAGGGCAGCATCGTTTTCAATCTCACAGATAATCTCAAAATGTCGATTAGGGCATCAGCCTTTTGCCTCGCAGAAACCAAATTTAACATAGAACAATAGTTCGACAATTTTCTCCAGGTTTAAATTTTCTGTGACACTGATATGATCTCCAACTAAACCACTAACATTTAAAGATCCACACTCTGATAACTCCCATTATTCGCAGCTATGGTAATCATGAAGAAAGATACTAGGACGAAATCGAAGCACCAAAATTTAACAAAAAAAAGTTAAAGGAGACACAAAGGGATGGAAGCTCATATGTGTGTGTGTGTGTGTGTGTGTAAATTTTAAGTACGAATATTACATATTCAGCAGAAATCTTAATATATCAACCACTAACAAGGAATCAATAATGAAATAGCATGAACAATAAGTAAGGAAGCAGAAGAAGTGAGCATAGCTATCACTCTTACAGTCACTTCAATGAAGTCTTTGGGGCGTCTGACTTTAAGAATGGATCCAGAGAAATATCTTCCATCAAAAGAAAGAGCAGCAGAAGCATCCTCAGGTGTAAGAAACTCCACAAGAGCTTGACCCCTTTCCTTGTGTATCTGCAGTTAAAATATTGTGACACATGCCAACTTCCTTTAATTGCAAATAGATGCAGAATGGACTGGACACTTACAATACAACTGATACATGGTTGGGTTCGATGGGGTTGACTGACACCTGAATATAGCAGAAAATTATTAAGGCATTCCATAACAGCTTTCTCAGAGGCTGAAGCTGGCAAGTTTTCTACATAAAGCCTCCTCATAGGCCGCGTTGCTTGTGTTAGCTGAATGGAATCTATGGAGGCATTCATCTGTGAAGATGAAGCATTTAAAAGTATGCCAACAGGATTCTTCGCAATGGAAGTGACAGGAACCACACCGGGCAATTGAAGTGTGCTGGATGGTGCAATTTCAATTGAAGACTTCAAATTAGAACGAACGGAACCAGTAACTTCCCTTTCTGTTCCTGTAGGTTGGCAATCCCAACCAACAGTTCTCTTCTCTGGGGAACGTTTGGTTGGGGAAGGAGTCTTAACAGCAGCCTCAGTTTTTCTCTTCCTCGGTGAATAGCCGCCAAGCCTACTTGCAGAACCACCATATCGTTGATAGTGACTACTTGAACCATTACTGGAGATCCTCTTCCGATCAACATCAGAATGTGATATTCCCAACCTATCTTTAGAAGGATGCAAGGGCAGGTCTCCATGCTCTCGCACATCATAAGATGTACGTTTGTGGGCCTAGGTGAAAGTGAAATGGACCTTCTACCTCTATCTTTATCACGCTCTCTGCTTCTTGACCGTATATTTTTTGGCCTCGATTCTTCGTGATGAACCTGTGATGTTTCTTTCTTCTCCTTTCTCTCAGAAAATTTTGAATTATGCCAGTTCCCTGAATTATGTTTTTTACCAGCATCTCTCTCTCCAGTTCTATGTTCATCTTCATTGTAATGTTTCCTTTTGCTTTCTTTTTCAGATTTACCTCTATTTCTGTCTGAGTATCTGTCCTTATCTCCCAAATATCTGGAATGTCTCTTCTCAGATTCCTTGTCAGAATCTTCACCTGACCACTTATCATTTTTCCTCTTACCATGTATGCGTCTATCATCATCATTATTTTGTTGTTCATATTTTCTTTCTTTTTCAAATTTTCCTCTCCTTTTATCTGCATATCTCTCATCATTATTTTGTTGTTCATATTTTCTTTCTTTTACAGATTTTCCTCTCCTTTTATCTGCATATCTCTCCTTGTCTGCCAAATATATAGAATGTCTTTTTTCAGATTCATTTTCAACATCCTCGCTTGATAATTCATCATTTTTCCTGTTGCCGTGAATTCTTCCACCAAGCTTACCTCCCTTGCCTTCATGACCGTTGATACTTTTTTTTGGTGTAGCCTTTGATTTGCTTTTGGAGTCACGACTTCCTTTATCTTTACCTCTAACTAATTTTCCCTCTTTGATACAAGTGTTATCTTCTTCCTTCCTAGAACTTACTTTCAGAAAATCCTCTGAAGCATGCTTTGTACCACTTGGTACAGAATCATTGTGTCTGCATCTGTCAGATTCTGAATGATCAGAGACCTTCTTGACAATGTCGTTTCCTGGTACATTCCCCGCGCCTCCAGGCTCCTCATTATTATCACCCAATGATTTCTTGCTTTCCCTCCTACGCATTATCTCATCAAAACTGAAAGGTCTTGTACGAGCAGAAGTTTCCTCTTTGCTCATTCTGGGAAAACTCACTATGGCTTGCACCCTTCCCTTTCAGCAGACCAGATCTGCTCATTCTGCTCAATGACAACTTCCTATACTAAAGAATTGTGATGTTCCAAGAGCAAATTAAGGCATTCATACAAGTAAAGCGTGAGGACATGCTAAGAATGGGTTGAGTGTTGGAGTTACGCCATGATTTCCACTATCCAAGGAAAAGTTGCTGCACTCAGAATTTTTTTTTCAAACATTAATACCAGTATGGATGTTATTTGAAACTTATTAAACAAATAAAACACAATATATCAGTAGTAACATATATAATTTGTCTAGGTCTGTAAAGTAATTAGTTGTCAACTCTCAAGGTTTAACATTTACACATCAATGAGTGCCCAAAGTAATAACCATGTGCTTATTTAAGAGTGTAAAAACCGTGGCTCAAAGAAAATTGAACACATGTCCCAAATCAAGACTTTTAATGTTTTTTTTTTTTTTTTTTTGTTTCCGGAAGGTAAATGAATTTTAATGTTTACTTATACGTGGCAAAAGAATGCCGGATGTTTCTAAGGGTATCCGAGAAGTACTGGTGTCCTGTGTCACACAGAAAACACTTTCTTCGAAGCATTTGTGCTTTTTTCATATGTCATTATTGCTGAAAGTCATATCCGTTGACGTTGGTAACCTCACATTCAAACCCACAACCTTGTGGCGGTAGCCAACAAATTTTACGTTAGGTAATGGCCACTATAAGTCTTTCACTAATTCAAGTCTTTACTTGTGGAATGTTTTGAGTCATTCCAATGCAAGAGAAATGGCATAATCAGAGCAATCACTTTCATTTTGGGCAAACATATAACTACCCACAATAACAAAAGGTACGTCTCTGATCTCCCTCTCTACGAACAAAGACTAATAACACCTAAAAATAGTGATGGTATCATGCATATGTCATTTGTCTTCACCATTTGAAAGTGCCACACCATTAAACACAACTAAACTTCCTATGTAATTGTTTGTCAATATTAGAATAATGGCCATATTTGTTGCCTAGGTACCTAGACCTTCATCAAGTTTGATACACCATTACTATAAAAACAAAAAACTAATGCGTTAAATTCTTCAATAATTCAACACATACAAACAACATGATGCGCCTCCAACATCTAAAAATTTTCCGTGTGAACCAAAAATTAATAATTGATGTATCTATCAAATACCAAGTTTCTCTTATGATTTTTGTGAGGCAAGCCCAACACCAAAATAGGGGCTATTGATCGGAACAATGGTAAAGTGCTCCGGGTATCACCGGTGAGAAAACAACTAGTGCGAGAGCAGTCACTTCGTGCAAAATGCAAACACTTATGTCTACATTCAGTTCTATCATTCCCAGTTCCCTGTGTAACATGACCACACTGGGTTACATTTCAAGCCCACATAAAAACAAAACATGCATTTATACTTCCTAGAGGACCGTTTGGTTAATGGGAGAGTGAAGGAAAGTGAGTGAAAGAGAAAAGAATCCAACTTTTTTGGTGTTTGTTTTGGTAGAAACTCTGATTTCTCAGGAAACTCGTAACCACTATTTTTTCATGCAAACATAGGTTTCGATTTCCAACAACTTGTGCGAGGAAAGTTTTATCTCTCGCAATATTAAAGAAGTTTGATCAAGCTTCCCATTCTGCCCATAGTTCCCTCCACCTCCACGACATCTCTTCACCGGTACAAAGATAGTCCAGGAAGTATGCAAACAAAATACCAAAATGAGACGAAGTACTATATACCCAAAAACCAAAACACCTTCCACGGGAAAAATTAGTGCATGATAATCCCAAAGAAATCCAAGAAAACAGCGGAGAGAGAAGAAAGAGACAGAACTTGAATTAGATGCAAGGCACAGATGGTGCAGAGTTCAAAATCAAATCCTTCAAGGGACCTTAATGGTTGAAAGAATGACACCAATACCTATAAATCAAGATTTCTCATAGTGGGTAATATCAATATGTCTAGCTCATCATTTTACAGAGAGGTTTGGGCTGGAGCTCCTGCCATTGGGTAGTGGGTACCAACCAAGTGAAAGTTTCACTGTCTTCTTTTAGGCCTGATGAAGTAAAAGAGTTCACCATCTGTCATGTGAAACTCTATATGGATTTCATAATTCCAAACTGGGCTAAATGCAAACCCAACTCACCATTGTCTTTGTTCATGGCACTTGTATTCATATTTGCAGCAACTTTCAAAACCATTAACAGTTCAACACCTTTCAAAAAATAATCTTTTAAATGAATATTTTGATGTGATTTCTAAAAAAAGTTTATTATGATATATTGAAGTTATCTAAGTGTTACTTTCACTTAGAAGATGTTATTTTCAATTCCATAGAAAATATAATAAGATGCAATAAACATGTACATACATATATCAGATACCTTACTTGAGGGTTATTTGGATAATACGCAAAATTTTCTTGCACTTTCCCCATAAAACTTCCATCCTTACCAGACATAAATAAGAATCACAAGAACGAGGCCTAGGGGGAACACGATTTTTCAGCAAAAAATAATCACAAGAACGCTCCAATTCCTTATAACACTAATTAATTACAGTTTCTAACAATTATATGTATGCTTTAAGTCTTTTCACTCTTAATAAATCATATATTAGCAGAGTTAAATGGATAAACCTATATATCCTATAATGAGTATAAGAGAGGGAGTGAAGAAAACAGACTCACCAGGACGGAGATGTCGCCGGGTATTCAGTGTAGAGCGTAGATTCGGACGGAAAAACGCCGTGGAACTTGGTAAACACAGACGAGAGTGAAATTGTAGTCGTATAGACTCGGAAGCTTGGATGGAGCTCTGAAAAACCTAGGAACGTCTAGAGATATTATCTGTGACTCTAAATTACAAATTTACCCCTGATTGGAAGATCAATTTAAAAAGGGAAAATTTCATATACACCCCTCTAAATAGGTCTATCTTCAATGACACCCCTTATATTTTTAAAAATTTCACTACATTTCCTTCTAGTTTATGTTCTCTTCGCCTAGACCCTCTTCCGTAACCAACCGACATTAGAAAGGTGCTGATGTCATACATAAATTTTTATTAAATACCAATTTTACCCTTCTTATTTCCCATGACACCCTTCTCTCATCCCCCCCCCCCCCTCATGCCTCAACAAGCCCAATCACCTAGCTACAAAATAACGTGGCAATGAACCCAAGCCACTTGTCCTAGAATGAATGGTAAAGGATAATGTAAAACATCTACCTAAAACAACAAAAAAATTAATGCTATGAATCGATGACACTGTAAAAAAAATTAAAAAAAAATCGGTGATAATATTTGCTTAAACATAATACAAGGAAAAATTTAAAATAATTTGTTTAAAAAAATTTTTTTTAAAAAAACGATGACATCGTATGCTTAAACATAATATAAAAAAAATTTAAAAAAATCGGCGACATCGTACGCTTAAACATAATATAAGGAAAAAATTCAAAATATATATTTTTTTTTAAAATAAAAATAAAAATCGGTGACACTGTACGCTTAAAAATAATACAAGAAAAAAATTTAAAATAATTTTTAAAAAAAATCGGTGACATCGTACGCTTAAACATAATACAAGAAAAAAATTTAAAATAAATTTTTTTAAAAAAATTAAAAAAAAAAAATTGGTGACACTGTACGCTTAATTATAATACAATAAAAAAATTCAAAATGAAATTTTTTTAAAAAAATTAATGATATCGTATGCTTAAATATAATACAATAAAAAAATTCAAATAATTTTTTTTAAAAATTAAAAAAAAATCGGTGACACTGTACACTTAAACATATATGAAAAAATTCAAAATAAACTTTTTATACGTGAACTCTATAGTGGAGAGTATTTGTGTCAATTTCCTTACTTGTACCATTAGTGGATTTCTACCAGCAAATAATACCACCTAGTAGGTGGTATTCATTAAAGTCATGTACAAAGGATAAAAATTGTTATACAAATTCGGATCAATATTTATAACCCGAAAAATAATACTGCACATAAAATATTAATCAAACAAGGTGATAAGTGGGCTCAGTACTATTTACTCTATCTCACTTTCTAATACCTGATATATTCGAAAAACAAACATGTCCATACTTACAAGAAATAGGAATATGTATGTATATATAGTTTAATGAAACATAATTGGTGAAATGTAAATCTTTACAAAATTCATGATAAAATCGTAAAAAGTGTGTTTCGGTCACGTTTGTTAGCCAACCAACACTGACAAGGAAGGTCAATGAAATTTCAAAAAAGGTAGGAGGGTCGCTGAAGATAGACTTATTTAGAGGGGTATAAATAAAATTTTTTCATTAAAAAAAAGAGAGATTACACTCAAATCCCTCTAAATTTATCACTTAATCATTCAGACTCTATGATATTTTTAAAATATTACGCACAAATCTCTTAAGTTTGTACGCGTGTAACACTTAGATCCCTGCGTAGTATATATGTTAGTAAATTATACTTAGATTCCCTAAAATTTATAAATATATAATATTTAGATCCCTCAAGTTTAAAATGTTATATTTAGACAAAAAATGTTTCAATCAAAAATAAAATATCAAATACTAGTCATAACCCGTGCCTAAAGACGCGATAAAATATAAAATTCGTGCGCCCAAAAAAATCGATCTTACTATATTAATTTTTTGTAACATGTGTATGCTATTTTATATGGATAATGTTTGAAATAAAAATTATATTAACTACAAATTAATCAAATATTAAATAATTAAACAAATGATAGAAGTGAGTGATGTGATATTTTTAGGGAGGAAATATATAAATGATTAAACATGTGATAGAAATAAGTGATGCGACTTGATGTTTGAGTCTGACAGAGGAATGATGGGTGAGGTAAGTGATTGGTGATGATTTTTAAGGTGAAAATATGATTGAGATAAAATTTAAAGTATGAGCTATTTTATTATATGGATTTTAAATTTTATAACCAAAATTCA